TTGTGACCTTCTACATCTCCCTCCCCCAAATGTATCAGTAACTTTACCCTAGTTATAATTGGAGTAGCTATAAGTATATAAATACATAGCTATTACGTATTAATATAAATGCAATATAAGACTTGACCAAGAACATTTCTATTTATTTAAGCACATTGAAATTAATAGGTAAGCTAAACTACAAACCTTCATGTGACAGGGAGGGAGAGTACGAACTGGGAACAAATGCTAATGTGTACGGGATTTCTTTTTTGGGTGTTGAAGATGTTCTAAAATTAGAATGTGGTGATGGTTGCACAACTCTGTGAATATACTAAAAACAACTGAACTATATGCTTAAAATGGGTGACTTTTATGGTATGTGAAATATATCTGAATAAAGCTGAGGAACAAAATTCCTCCATATAAACAAGTTCATCAAGTTCCCATCTCTAAAAGCACCCATGGAAATATAATTACTGCTTCCCTTATTGTCCAGTCCCTATATAGTCCGTCACTTTACTCACTAAGGGAGCTACTAATTTTAAAGATAACAATTGAAAGTAGTATGATATTCCATCTTTGGGATTCAGTTTTGCCTAAGTCAATAGGTGTCTTAAACAATTATGACTTCACATAACTTTAACATAAACCAATCACTCCAAAGAAAACACCTCTATACAGGTTCTTATACCTGGTAATCCAAAATGCTGAATCCCAAACCTTTACGATCTTTTACTAGTTCAACAATCTTGACTTCGGGAGACCACAGTGCTAATTCCCCATCATCTTCTTCTTCAGTATTGATATCCACATTGTGGTCAACCTGAAACACCAAAGAAGATAAATGCTTCAAAACGCTATGCTTCAATTCTGAAAAGAATGCACATATCAAGAATCCCACAGCTTCTTCTCAAACTGGGAATTCTCTTTGGCATGCGTAGTTTTCTTTTTAGTCTTTATAGAAGGGGCATGCTCTGGGGCACACACACTCCAGGATAAGATCTTCATAAAAATTCAAGCACTTAAAAATTCAGATTGTTCATACAGTTTTTTATTAATGTAAAGAATCTATTTCATTCAAAGTATTAACACTGACCTCTTATACTTCAATGAGTTCTGTCATCCCATTAGAAGCATAAAAGGAAAAATATGCAATTTAAGTAAATGAAAACATCATACAAAGTAGAAGCTTATAAGATTTGTAAGTAGCAATACCTGGATTCATAATTACAGAGAGAGACAGAGAAAGAGATGTCAACCCAGAGACAGGCTGGAGCAAGACAGGGAACCACTTCTGCTAGCTCCAAAACTTTACCAGAAAATAAGGTGAGAAAAAAAAATACAAGTCTTTGGACATCATATAGGTCTAAAGATAAAGAAAAATCACTGAGTTGAAATAATGAAAATCTGACCTTAGAAGAAATAGGACAGCACAACTGCCCAGCATACAGGTCCTTTGTCACTTTTCTTGATTTTACTCCTGAAAGGCCCTCTATTCTAGACTCCCCGTCTTTTTAGGAAGAAGAGTCACTGCTATGTCGAATTCCAGGAAGTTAAATGAATGGGTCAATGAATCCACTATGCAGAAGAATAGCTGCTTCAAAAAACCTTCTGTTTTTATACGAATTATAGCATTGGACTGTTGTTTTCATCTGACTGGCATTCCCCAAAATACTCTATCTAAAGCCCAAAAATTATCTTTTATAGCGCAAGCAATGAACAAAATTCCTGGCTCCTAAGCTAGAATGGAAACTCTGAGAGGGATACCACAGAGTTACCATGGTTATCAGCTCAACCCATATAAATACCTGGCTCATAGTAGGCACACAATAAATATCTGTTTAACATATTAAAAATTACCTATCTTTGAATGTGTTTCTCTTGAAACTCTTTCTCAATAAAGGTACCAAGTAAATGATTTTTAAAAGCAGACTTCTTAAAACTTTGGGTGACCAAAGTAAATAAAAATGCATCATCTCTACAAACATAATTTTGAAAGACCTGTATAAGAGAATCAATTTAATGTAATCAAAAAAGGGAAAGGAAAACTCCTCTATAATTAGGAAAATTGCTAGCTAGAAAAATTATTTTATTTATCTATTTATGTATATATTTACTCTTTCCAACATTTATTTTAGGTTCAGGGGTATGTATGCATGTTTGTTACATGGGTAAATTGTGTATCACAGGAGTCTAATGCACAGATTATTTTGTCACCCAGGTAATGACCATGGTACCTGACAAGTAATTTTCTCATCCTTATCCTCTACCTTCAAGCAGGCCCCAGCATATATTGTTCACTTCTTTGCATCCGTGTGTACTCAGTGTTTAGCTCCCACTTACAAGTGAGAACATGTGGTATTTGGTTTTCTGTTTCTGCATTAATTTACTTAGGATAATGACCTCTGGCTCCATTCACGTTGCTGCAAAAACATGATTTCATTCTTTTTTATGGCTGCATAGTATTCCATGGTGTGTATGTACCACATTTTCTTTATCTAGTCCACTGTTGATGGGTATTAGGTTGCTTCCATGCCTTTGCTATTGGGAATAGTGCTGTGATGAATACACACATGCATCTTTATGGTAAAACAATTTATATTCCTCTGGGTATATATACTGTAATGGGACTGCTGGGTTGAATGGTAGTTCTATTTTAAGTTCTTTGAGAAATCTCCAAATGCTTCCACAGTGACTGAACTAATTTGCATTCCCACCAGCAGTGTTGAGTGTTTCCTTTTCTCCACAACTCCCCCAGCAACTGTTATTTTTTAACTTTTTAATAATGGCCATTCTGACTGGCATGATGGTATCTCATTATAGTTTTGATTTGCATTTCTCTAATGATCAGTGATATGAAGCATTTTTTCATACGATAGTTGGCTACGTGTATGTCTTCTTTTGAGAAGTGTCTGTGCACGTCCTTTGCCCATTTTTTAATGGGGCTGTTTGTTTTTGCTTGCTGTTTTAACTTCCTTATTAAAGATTCTGGATATTAGACCTTTGTCAGATGCATAGTTTGCAAATATTTTCTCTCATTCTGTAGGTTGCCTGTTTACTCTGTCGATAGTTTCTTTTGCTATGCAAAACCTCTTTAGTTTAATTAAGTCCCACTTGCCAATTTTCGTTTTCATTGCAATTGCTTTTGGAATCTTCATCATGAAATCTCTACCAAGGCCAACATCCATAATGGTAGTTCCTAGGTTTTCTTCTAGGGTTTTTATAGTTTTAGGTTTTACATTTAAGTCTTTAATCCATCTTGAGTTGATTTTTGTATATGGTGAAAGGAAGGGGTCCAGTTTCAATCTTCTGCATATGGGTCACCAGTTTTCTCAGCAGCATTTTCCAAATAGGAAGTCCATTCCCCATTGCTTATTATTGTCGGCTTTGTCAAAGAGCAGATGATTATAGATGTGTACCTTTATTTCTGGGTTCTCTAACCTGTTCCATTGGTGTGTCTATTTTTTTTTTTTTTCACCAGTACCATGCTGTTTTGGTTACTATAGCCTTGTAGTATAGTTGGAATTTGAGTGTGTGATACCACAGGCTTTGTTCTTTCTGCTTAGGACTCCTTTAACTATTTTGAGCTCTTCTTTTGGTTCCAAAAAAATTTTCTACAAATTTCCTTAAAATTTAGAAAAATTTTACAATAGTTTTTTCTCTAATTCCATGAAAAATATCACAAAAATAGCATTGAATCTAAAAATTGCTTTGGGCAGCATTGCCATTTTAACACTATTGATTCTTCCTATCCATGAGCATAGAATGTTTTCTATTTGCGTCATTTCTGGTTTCTATCAGCAGTGTTTTATAATTCTCATTGTAGACATCTTTCACCTCTTTGGTTAGCTGTATTCCTATTATTTTATTCTTTTTGTGGCTATTGTGAATGGGACTGCATTCCTAATTTGGCTTTCAGCTTGCATGTTGCTGGTGTAAAGAAATGTTACTGATTTTTTTACAGTGATTTTTGAATCCTGAAATTTTGCTGAAGTTGCTTATCAGATCTAGGAGGCTTTGGGCAATCGACTATGGGGTAGAAAAACATTTTTAAAATTAGGATTGGTCCAGATCTTAAACTGTCACTGCAGGACATGGGTGGTCAATAACCAATCCACCGTGGATTGAACCTCAACATGGGAACAATCTGAAGCTGAAAACTTGAAATGAGTGGAAACGTCATGGATCAATAACCTCTACATATTTCAGTCTAATGTGTGGAAGTGATATCCTTAAAAAGAAAACACTTATGTCTTCCAACAAAAAGTAAAGTTCCAGTGGCTAATACAACATGATTGATGTTTTACTGGGGCATTTAATACTCTCACTGATTAATAAGTATTAGAATTTTGACTGAGCTGCCTAACCAGATAGGGTTTAAGAACATAAGATGGTATTAGGAGAAATGAAAAAAGATGCCAAGATGGAAAAAGAGCCAAGACGTTAAGAAACCACATACAATTACAAAATCTGTGTTTATAGAAATTTCAAGGCATTCAAGGTGCATGAGATATTATACTGCAACCTGAAATATATCACTTTGATACAATCAATTCTGCATAACTCCTCTATTTACAGAATGGAAAGCAATCAACTAATGGCCAGCAAGGTTGACATTTAGCATAATTCAAAGCTGTTGTTCACCATTGTGGTAAAGCATGACAGATGGGAGCATAGAGTCAGCAAGTGGGGTTTGTGATTTACACACCTTGAAAGATTAGATGAAAGGCATTTTTATCAGCCACCGATATTTCATTTTGGTAAGGATAGCAAAAGTCACAAAAGTGTGGCACTTGAGTCCCCTCCCTGAAATTTTTTTTATAAAAGTTAAACTTTTTAAAAAAACAGTCAACCAATAATTAAAAATTTACCAAGCCCCTCTTATATGCCTAATATAGAATAAAAACACTATGAAATAGAAAATAATTTTACGATATGGCCTTTGCCGACAAGGAGCTAACAATCTTCTTGGATAAACAAGATTACTACATACTGAAGTATCTATAAGACAGTGTTAGACTCTCATGTACTTCTGGACACAAGAAAACAAAAACGGATGGACTGGTGGAGACTTAAACAGCCAATAGCCCACTGTCACTGAGCACTTCCCACATGCAAGGCATTGTGTTCAGAACTTGTATACATTACTGCATTTCCTGCTTGCACAAACTCATGAGATGGGTAAGTATGATAAGTATCACCATTTTTTCAAAGGAAAAATATGAACAGAAAGTCAAGTTATTTGCCCAAAGATTCACAATTATTAGGTAGTAAAGGCAGGATTAGTTCATGTGTACTGAAATCCAGAACTTAAGTATAAGGGAAGGCCTCATGTATCTAAACTGGTGTGTAGTGGAATTACAATCTAAAAGAAATTGAAAAGGGGGAAAGATAGCATAAAAGATGAGGTTACCAATAGCATAAGATGGCAAAGTATGTGCTCAAAACTCTTCCAGCTAGGTACAGCAGCTTACACCTGTAATCCCAGCACTTTGGGAGGCTGAGGTGGGAGGATTGCTTGAGTCCAGGAGTTTGAGACCACCCTGGGAAGTATGGCAAGACCCTGACTATACGAAAAAAAAAATGTTTTAATTAACTGGGTATGGTGGCAAGTGCCTGTGGTCCCAGTTACTTGGGAGGCTGAGGTGGGAGGATTGCTTGAGCCCAGAAGATCGAGGTTACAATGAGCCATGTTCAAAACACTGCACTCCAGCCTGAGGAGACTCTGTTTCAAATGCTCTTTAAAAAAAAAAAAAAAACAAAGACTACCAAGAGCTTATAAAATGTTATTTCATTCTCTTATCTTCTGAAGGGATTACTGGCAATTTCCAGACTCACTTTGAAATTTACCATAGAGTTTCATATTTTTAAGGCTCTGAAAGAGGGAAGTATATTAGATCTGCAACCCTTACCGACACCTTAAGCTTATATAAGACAAACTGAGCTGAATTAGAAGTCAAAAGTAATGACTCCAGGCAATTAGTGAAAAAACAAAGGCTCTCTAAAATCAAAATGCATGTACATCAATGTAGGCAACATGTCGGGAAGGAAAGAGTTTTACGATCTTAAATAAAGAGTAACAGTTTGAAAAGCTATGCACTGTTGCCTTAGTCAAGCAAAAAAAGAGTAGAGTGAAGGTTTCCTCTCCCTTCATATTGTAGTACAGTCTTCGGGGCGTCTTTGATGAATGGGCACGCCTATGGGAACCACACTATATTCACTTAGTACCTCTGTCTCAGGAAGAGAGGTTTCAGTGGGCCTTGGTTCATCTACAGAAGCCTCATCATCAAACAACCTCCGACAGCAAACCAAAGTAAAAGGGGGTGGCACTTCTTTAAGAAAGGAGACTGCTTCTCGGCGAGATTTTCCATACAGCTGCATGCCATTGACCTAGGAAGACAAGGAGACAAGTCACAGTTGAGGCAGCCCCAAGTGAAAAAACGAAAATCTCTTATTTATATCGATCTACCAAAATGAAAATAGGACATCATTTTATTTTCCCTGTAAACAAAGGGCCTCGCTTTAATCATATTATTTATAATTAAATAATATGCAAATAAAAATGTTAGAAATCCCTAAAATTTTTTAAATCTAAGGCTAAATCTTTGCTCATCTTGATGGATAAAGCATAAAATGTGTGCAGAGTACACCCTCACTGGCTAAGGGATCTACCTAATTTTTTGCAGCACTATGGTTTCTCCTTTCAATACTCCAATGTTATATTCTCTCACCTACCTCTACTCAGCTCTCCTTAAATACACTGAATAAGCATATATAGTCCTTTAAGACTGTTTTCCTTTGCATTTTCATTTTATAAGAATATCACTACAGAAATGCAAGCCTGTTAAAAAAAAAAACTGTTTACTGCTTAAAGTATAGCTAACAAATATAGAACAGTTGGCTGTCAAAATTTAACATCAGTCCACAATATTCTTTCACATCCCATACACTCTTAATACCAACCTAAAAAAATAACTTCCACTGAAAAGAAATATACATGCCTTTGCATCAGTTACATTCTTATATGCTCTGCTGATACAGCAACCAATACATTATTTTAAAAAATAATTTAAAAAATAATTTTATGCTAGTGTCTCACGTTTAAAAGAAAAAAGTATTTTTTATTAACGATTAATCCTTGTCACAAAAAATTATCTAAACTTCATATTACCTTTGGTGCATAATAATAATACTTGGCACCAAAGATGATTTGGCTAAATAATTCTAATTTTTCATATATATGACTTGAGTTCAAAGAGTCCTTTCAGTTCTAACTATAGGTCTCTAAAAGCTGATCTGTCTGCTACTCCCAAAAAGCTGAGGCATGAACAGAATCCAGGTAACAAATAATCTTTTCACATCTGACTCCTACCCTCCTAGGAGGATTTAGAAGCATTACTTGTTTTAAAGATATTTTTAGTCTGGCATTAATTTCTAATAGGTGTTGTGCTAATGTTCAGATAACTGGCCAGCCTGACTTTACTGGGAGAAGCCCTTCTACAAATCTTTCACTGCACCAGAGAGGAAGAGGACACTGGGCTGCTGGAAACCTTCAGCAGTCGGGTGAGTCTCAGGTCAACCATCCCTGGGAAACACTCGCAAGCCTGTAACATATCAAGCACTTAGCCATCAAGCCAGACATCTCTCCCTGCCTCTTAATTATTTACAAAGAAACCGCCACAAGGTAAAGAGACCCATATGCACTTTAGGAAGCGAGCTCTACTGGAAAGTCTTCATGACAAATGAAGAGGTCTAGGGGACAGCAAGCTCAACAGCTGATGAAAGGTTTTTCCTTGGAATAACTGCAAGTCAGCCTTTACATAACAAGAGGCGGGCAGGAACCCATCACTGGCCATACCGTAGCCATGATTTCAACTGGTGTCACAAGTGCACAAAGTTCTAGAGTCAGCTAAATGGGTAGTAACTTACACACACAAAAAAGCAAGTAGATAGAATCAAAGCAAGAATTCTACCCATACATGAGTATGAGTTTGTGTTTCACTTCAACAAATTAGAAAGTCACTTTTGGGTTTTTATCTTGGAGTACCTTTAAATATTTATTTATCTCATTACTTATTCATTTGAATTGTCTCCAATTATTATAGCAGTGGCTGTTGGTCCTCCTCACCACTCCCTGCTAAAGGGACTGGTCACATTTCCCATTACCAATTCCTATCTAGGGGGATTTACAGCTGCTGTAAATAGCTGTTCTGGGCTGAGACTTGGCACAGTGTTCTAACCCCAAAGCATATTTGTGTTTCTGGTTTTAAGCTCTAAGGAGTACATTAAACACACACATACACAAACAAACACACACACTTTGAGTTCAGGAGTTTATTTGGCTAACTGTACTGAGATTTTTTAATTTTGTATTTTTGGTTATTCAGAAGAAGCTAATTTTTATTTTAGAATTTGCAGTATTTTTCAAGATCCTTAGACTTCAGACCCTCCGTAGTCCTGTTTTATCCTGACTTTTTGACCGGAAAATGCACACACATACACACTTCAGAGTACAGAACACTGCACGAGTGCTGCCCCACTATTGTACCACATCGAACCCTCATCCCAGCCCATAAGGCTTGTTAATATGCCTTCTTCACTGCAATAATATTGCCAATACCCCACAATGAGATAATGCTTTATAATTTACATGGATGGTATTTCATCAGATCCTTACAAAGGCATAGTGAAGGAGGCATTGATGAAGGAACTGATTCTCAAAAAAGTTAAGTGACAAGACAAGGGACACACAGCTAACCTGTCGCAGTTCGGACCAAAAGCAGCTTTTCTTACTCCAAACCTGTGCTTCTTTTTTTATCCCAAGTTCTTTCACTAGGTATCTATATTTAAGAATTCAAAAAATCTTCACACTACCTTATTATAGCACCTTCTATTACAAGGTTGTAGGCCCATGGGAGCCTAGTCTTGACTAAAGCATACAGAATTCAGCTGATGGCTGGGATCACCTGTACTTGCTCTATTGTGATCCAACCAACATTTCTTTAGTACCTACCACAGACTAGTAGTGATTTACACTGAATACCACCAAATTTCACACTTAAAAATGGTTAAAATGGGCCAGGCATGGTGACTTATGCCTGTAATTCCAGTACTATGGGAGGCCAAGATAGCAGAATTGCTGGAGGCCAGGAGTTCAAGACCAGCCTGGGCAAAATAGCGAAACCCTGTCTCTACAAAAAAGCTAAAACATGAGCTGGGCATGGTGGCGCATAGCTATGGTCCTAGCTACTCAGGTGGTTGAGGTGGGAAGATTGCTTGAGCCCAGGAATTTGATGCTGCAGTAAGCTATGACCATGCCACTGCAATCCAGCCTGGGCAACACAGTGAGACTCTTAAAAAA